GTATAGTATAGTATAGTATAGTATAGTATAGTATAGTATAGTATAGTATAGTATAGTATATGGTTTGCTGTATATTTGTTTGCTTAGAGAAAGTATTTGATAAATTATTTTTGATATCTGGAATAAATATGAACTTGAAGGTTGGTTGCTGAATACAATAAGAGTGATAATGGAATAAAGCACACATGATGTTCTGCAGAGAATAAGACATCCCCATGATCATATATAAATGAATAAGGAAGCTTGGGATGATAGAAGTGTATGTGGATGAAGCCATTATTTGGCTGAGAATCTGAATGAGTTGGAATAAGTATTAGCTAGATGACATAATTTTATTGCCTCTATGAAGGACTCATGTGGAGATAGTGGTGTGGAGTGAAGAAAAAAGTTGAACGAAAAGGCAGTGTGTGATGCTGTGTATAACTGAGGGGAAAGCTGTTTCCTTTTCTCATGCTTTACTTTTTTTTGTCTTAACATTTCTTACTCTTTTTTCTGTACTCTTGCTTACCCCCCAAAGGGAATAGCATGATCGGTATGTATGTATGTACTCAGGTAATTGTAGGTTGTCTTACCCTCCCAAGTGGAAATTAAGTAGGCCATAACTATATCAGTTTTACGAACTTAAGTAAGTTTGATCTGAAGGCTACTTATTAAGATGTTCTGTAAGACCATTTTATTTTAAAAACAGAAATATAAGGGTGAAATGGTATTTAATAAAACACAGCATTGGCAAAGCCCTGTGAGATTTGTGCTGCTTGACATAAAATAATGATTTAAGTATTTTTCATTAAGTGTACATAAAACTAATCTTAATTTTTCCAGATGATAGGTTTACTACCTGTATGAATTAAATCACAGAGTTAGGTAATAGATACGACTTCAACAGTGTGTGCATTTATTGTAATTATGTACTCTATGTTTAGTATTAAATACTATTCCACCTCTAGCTTTATTGATATGATCATTTAATTCTTTTAAAATTTATCAAGCTGTTTTGGGCACTGTATAGATTTTGGGGTAATTGTGTATAAGTCTACTAAGAAACAAGATCCACAGAAGCTTTCTCTCAGTTTTTCCTGGTGCTAAATCTCAAAACCAAGAGATTGTGAGTGTTTTTGAGGAGCATAAGGGACATTTCATATGATTGTTCATGACATGTGTAAAAGATTGAGCAAAGGGGATCGGATCCATTCAATACAACCTGCAGTTAGGCTAATCTGTATTGTAGTACATTGTATGCAGGAAGTAAAAGTCTAAGTAGTGCTTCCGTACTAAAGAAAAAAGCATAGTAGTTGTTACCAGGGTACATTTTGTCTGTACAAGGATTTCTTTGCAATCATTGGAAACACATTTTAATATTAATAATTTATTAATGGTAATATTTACTTTATGAAGGATTTTTAACAAGGTTTGTTTTTCCTTTGCATGAAATAGAAACCTATGTTTTTTTATTCTTTAAAAAATAATAGTATTTCAGTTGATTCTTTTTATCTTCATAGCACTGCTTTTTGGTGGAGTCACCAATCCTGCTCATCCAAAACATATTGGGAGCATTGATCCTACTTGTAATGTGGCTGATGTAGTAGAAGGTAAAAGTAAAAATAATATTGCTTTGCCTTTCAAATGTTCATTTCATCTGTTTCTGATCATAATGTCAGTAGTTATATTCGTTTTCATCAAAGCAAATTTGTTTCTTTCTGTAGTTTAATAGCTTGATCTTTGCATTATTGATGTTAACCATAGTTAAAAATCAGTCATGTTCTTTTTTCCCCCCCAAAAAAAGTTTTATTGAGTAAATTGTTAAAAACATTGGACGTGGTGTGATTGTCCTGACAATCCTGTTTGTCATCCATGTTATGGCATAGAATACATGTTTATATGCATTCATAAATTTATACAATATTTTCTATTTCTAATCATTCGTTCTGCCAACCCTACTTACTTTTGATTCTAGATCCCTCCTTTTTTCCCACCATTGATAGAATTTATCCCATACTTTATAATATTCTGTCTCATCTTTTATCTTTCATTTCCAAAATTAATGTATCCATCTCAGCATAAGTCCTTATCGTTTTTATTACTTCACTTTCATTAGGAATTTCTTTATCTTTCCACTTTTGAGCAAAGGCTAGCCTTGCTGCCATGATCATGTGTATTATTAAATAAATCACCATCTCCTGAAGCCACCTCTGAATTCTATGCCAAAACTCCTGGGTTTTTTCTACATTTCTACCATGTGTGGTAATATGATCTATATTCTTGGGTACATTTCCAACAGTTCGGTGATATATTTTGATACATTTTGGCCAGTTTTGCTGGAGGAAGTTGCCATCTATAAACCATTTTATATAGATTTTCCTTATACGATGCGGCCAATGTTATTATTTTATTTCTCTCGCATAAAGTTTGCCATTTATCCAAATTAATACCTGACCAATTACACCCCAGAATTCTAAAGGAGCTGGCAGATGTCATCTCAGAACCACTGTACCACATCTTTCAAAAAATCTGGAGCACCGGGGAACTACCAGAGGACTGGAAAAGAGCTAATGTGGTTCCCATCTTCAAAAAAGGGGGAAAAAACAGACCCAGGAAACTACAGGCCAATCAGCCTAACATCAATATCTGGAAATATACTGGAAAAGATAATAAAAAAACAGATCTGCCAACATCTACGAATGAGTAAAGTAATAACTAGCAGTCAGTATGGCTTTGTGAAAAGCAGATCATGCCATACCAGTCTAATTTATTTTTTTCTTTTTAAATTTTAAAAAAGTACTTTATTGAAATTCAAAACATTAAAAAGTTTACAAAAATTCAAAACATTTAAAAAATTATAAAAATTTATATAATAGAAGATGTGTCAATATCTTTTAGCATTGTTTTTTGACAGTACAATAAATACAATACATACAATTAATACTTGACCAGTTATTCATAGTGGTGCTAATGCTAATTCACAGTGCCTTAATAATATTGATAAGTGATTTATGTATATAGGTCAAAAGAGAAAAAAGTCATATTAACACTAAGTACATATATATATCTAAAAAGAGAAAAATCAGAGATAAATGTACATAATAATAGTCTATGTACTGTGCTCTCTATTCCATAGCCATAAGAGAAGATATGTTATATATATTTCAGTATACAATATAAGTATAACTACATATATGTTATAAATTAAATATGACTATTTACCTAGATCTCCATTTTCTGGCAATTTCTTGATTTCAACAGTTTCTCGTTGGTCCTGCCTATATACCAATATTCCAATTTTATTTCCTGCCTATATACCAATATTCCAATTTTATTTCCTCTTTTAATCTATATTTTTCATGTTTTACTGTCTACCGATTGATACCAAATTTTCTAAATTGAGTAAAATGATAATTCTTTATCATTTAATTTCATTGTGAGTCTATCCATCTCTGCACAATCCAGAATTTTATGAATTATAACTTCATCAGATGAAATGGTAGACATCTTCCAAGTCTGCGCTAGTGCAATTCTTGCCGCCGTTATTATGTGTATAATCAGATAGTGAATCTTTTTTGGGTTTTAATCTTTAATGATTCCCAGGAGAAATAATTCCGGTTTACATTCCAATCTGCAATGGATAATTTCCTCTAACCGTGTTTGTATCTTGGTCCAATATTTTTTAATTTCTGGGCATAGCCACCAGATGTGGAAGAAGGTGCTTGTGTTCTCTTACACTTCCAACAATTTGGGTTCAGCTTAGGGTACATTTTTGCCAGTCTGGATGGCGCCAAATGCCAACATTTTATATAAATTTTCTTTATATGCGACCAACTTTGTCAAGGAAACATCTTTATGCCAGATTTTTTCCCAATCTTCTGGATCAATATTATGTCCAAAGTTTTTAGCCCAGGCTAACATGGGTCCTTTAACGATTTTCTCTTCTAAGTCAAAATTTAATACATAATTGTAGATTTTAGATATTTTTTCTTCTGGTCCTAGCAATAATTTATCTAGCTGGGTTTCTTCTGTTTCAAATCTTTTTTATACCTTGTCTGTACTTAAAGGTACGGCCACCAATCTGTAAATATTCCCTGTGTTTCTAATTCTTGACTTGTTTTAAGTCTTCCTTGATTATCCAAAATTTGGTAATATTTGACTTTTTTACTGATATCCAAAGTATTTGGGTGGATCATTGCCTCCATGGTGGACAACAACCTGGAATTTTGGTATAATGTTCCTTCCTAATTTCTTCCCAAATAATTATCAATGGATACCAGTCTTATTTCATTATTTAACATAGTGATTAAATTAGTAGACCAGCAAAATACTGTGGACATAATATACTTTGACTTCTGCAAGACATTCAACAAAGTAGACCACAACCTACTTCTTGGCAAGCTAGAAAAAAGTGGGATAGATAACATCACCACGAGATGGATTTGTAACTGGGTGACTAACCATACTCAATGAGTAGTGGAGGGAAGAAGTAAGCAGCGGGGTGCCACAAGGTTCCATCTTAGGCCCAGTACTCTTCAATATCTTCATAAACAACTTAGATGAGGGAATAGAAGGGGAACTTACCAAATTTGCAAATGATACTAAGCTGGCAGGAATAGTTAACACCCAAGTAGAAAGGCTCAAGATCCATCTGGATCTTGACAGACTTTAACAATCTAATAAAATGAAATTCAATGTAGAGAAAAGTAAAGTCTTACATTGAGGCAAGAAAAATCATATGCAAACATATAGACTGGATGAAACCAGGCTGAATAGCAGTAACTGTGTGGGGCGTCTTGGAGTCTTAGTGGACAACCAGTTAAATAAGAGCCAGCAGTGTGTGGCAGCAGCCAAAAAAGCCAACACAATCCTATGTTGCGTTAACAGAGGGATTCAATCAAGATCAAGTGAGGTACTAATACCACTTTATAAAGCCTTAGTAATACCACCCCTAGAATACTGCATCCAGTTTTGATCACCACACTATAAAAAAGATGTTGAAGCTCTAGAAAAAGTGCAGAGAAGAGCAACCAGGATGATTAAGGGACTGGAGACTAAAACATATGAAGAATGGTTACAGGAATTGGGCTTGGCCAGTCTATTGAAGAGAAGGACCAGGGAGACGTGATAAGAGTGTTCTGGTATTTGAGGGGTTGCCACAGAGAGGAAGGGGTCAAGCTATTTTCCAAGGCACCTAAAGGCCAGACAAGGAATAATGGATGGAAAGTGATCAAGGAGAAATTCAACCTAGAAATAAGGAGAAATTTTCTGACAACAACCAACCAATGGAACACTTGCCTTTGAAAGTTGTGGGAGCTTCATCACTGGAGGCTTTCAAGAAGAGGTTGGACAGCTATTTGTCAGAAATGGTATAGGATCTCCTGTTTGGGCGACGGGGTGGACTAGATGACATACAAGGTCCCTTCCAACTCTGTTAAACTGTAAGACCCATTAGGTCTTATTTTCGGAGGAAGTTGATTTTGTTGCTGCTTGCCTGCGCCCTCCCACCATCTGCTTGTCCCACCAACAGCTTATAGAGCTTCCCAGGGCAGACACACCTTTCACCTGGATGGAGAAATGACAGGGACTTTAAACTGCTTGTGTTTAGCTCAGTTTCAAAGTACCCTGTTTGCAAACAGAGGAAGTTTCGAGTCTCCCTCTGGGCGAAAAGTGCACAGTAGAGCCAGGCTGAGGCACAGGCACAGGGGAGTGGAGGGAGACGATCCCAACATGCCTCCCACTCCATCCCACTGTGTCTCGGCTTGCCTGCAGCTGCACTGGGGCAGGCCCCAAGCAGGATGTCAACATTGCCTGCATCCGCCTGCTGCCACTGCTGCCATGCAAGCCTCACGCAAGCCTCCTGTAGCCAGGCAGCTGCAAAGCACGTCTGGATCACCTATCCCCCCCCCACCTCCATGCTCGAACTTATCTGCTGTGCCAAAGACACTGTCGGCCCCTGTGCGCTTACCGTCTCTTGTGCTGGCCACGCCCATTCCCCCATTTTTGGAGTAGGCCTTATATTTGGCCTACCCCAAGAAGTCAGTCTAGGGCTTATTTTTTTTGGGTGGATCTTATTTTTTGGAAAAACTGTTTTCATGAAAGGTGCAGGAATAGCTTTGAAATTTGAAGCTTTTATTAGCATGTGCATTTTTGGTTCTTAAATTGGGCTGTGCAATCTTACATATACCTAATAAAGAATTGTTCCCATTGACTTTAATAGAATTTATTATTCAGGTAAGTGTGAGTAATATCATATATTACATTTTTTTAATGTTATGAAAGTTTAGCTTTCTTGTCTGACACAGATACCTTTTTAATGCCAGACAGAAAACAAGTTTTAAAGTAGCATTAAATACTGTGGAATCCAAAAGGAATTTCATTCATGCATCCTTCATTCATTCATTCATTCATTCATTCATGTATTACTCGCTTCTCCCTTAACAGATTTAAAATAAAGATATTAGGAGATTCAATTATGCATCACTCACATTACGTGGATTCTTATAGATTTTGTTTAAAGAGGAGGAGACCTTGCAGTTTCTAAATTTGCAGTATATAATATACTATTATTTACTCACAATCACATGATATATATTGTTTCTCTTCCTTAACAGATGCCTTTGCAACTGCCAAGATGCTGTGTGAGCAGTATTATCAAGTAGCACCTGATTTGGAAATTGAAGAATTTAATGGTACAGATATAGATATGATTGCTTTTTAATATTAAGTATCTGTCAATGTATGGATTGCAAAAAATCATTATTTAAGTGAAAACTAATTGCTGAATTCATTTTTAGCTGAGAACTGTGTCACAGATTTCTTTAGTGCAGAAAATACTTTTCCTTCCATTCCACCATTTTTCTTTCGGATTTGATTTGATTGATTGATTGCTTATGTGTCATTCAGTTGGTAACAACTTAGCAACCACATGCATTTTCTCCAGGAGAATCATGTCCTCAGCTTGGTCCTTCAGCTCCTATGATGGTGCAGCCATTACTGCTTATTTAAAACCATTCCCTTGCTTCAGGTTGTCCATATCTCTTTCCTTGAATCTTTCCTAGTATTATAATCTTCTTTGAAGAGCTAATTTAATTTTTAGCTGTTGTACATTTCTAGTAAATAATAAAAACCAGAAGATTTACAGTTGTTTGTGTTAACTTTAACTTTAATTCTCAAAAGTTTTATTTGTTTTTTTAGCTAAAGCACCAGGCAAGCCCATTCAGGTTGTCTATGTACCCTCACATTTGTTTCATATGCTTTTCGAATTGTTTAAGGTGAGTAAAATAATATCAGGGGAAGGGGATAAATATTTGGCTTATTTTTGAGTTTGCCAGAAATGTTATCATGCTTCACCCTGAATATAGTTGTAGGTACAACTTCGGACAACTTTGTAAACAACTTTTATCCAAAGGTACAACTTTGGAAACAACTTTGTGTTTGATGGCAAATTGTGCATGCTAATTAAAAGTCAAACTTCAGCAACAGATTTTGACAACATGGGAAAACCTTTAAATACTAAATGTTTTTCTATCTGAAATTGGAAAATCACATCTTCTATTTTATTTATTGTTATTTCATGAAAATAATTAATATCAGATTGTCCATGGAATGGATGAATGAAGGTTGCAAACCTCACCTCCAAGAAGTTATTTGAGTCTTCACATCTTGCCCCTACTTTCTGCTGTGGAATAGTGACTTGGTAATTCCTAATTTTCAGGGGATGCCCCATCTTGGCATCCACTTTTTAAATCCTGGTATTTAAAAGCATATGGCTTTCATACCTTATTTTCCTTTTTCTGATGATTAAAAGGCAAATCTAAATTAATTCCCATAATACAATCTCCTGATCACATGGCATCAAGGTGTAGTTAGAGGTATCAGCCTACCCCTGGAATATAAAGTAATAAGAAAGTAAAATGATCTCAACATTAAATTTAAAAATAATAATAACTTTGAATATCTAATTTTAGATAAAGAAATGTTACTTCATGTTAAAGTAAATAAATATGCCAATTATATTAGATTGATCATGTGGCACAAAAGAAGTGGATACATTTTTCTGCCGAAATAGCTCTGCCACTTGGAGTCTGAATTTCTGCCATTTTGAATGGGGAAAACCCTGGGAAATGAATCGTGTCTGGATTAGAGCAGTTGTAAATTTATCCTATTGTGAGTGGACAGCATTTTCCTTTAAGGGCACCTCCACAAAAAACCATTGTTCAATCTGGACACTTTAGACAGTAATACACAATGCAACCTTGTCTTTTGGGGGAAGATTATTGAGGCTTCAGATTTGGAAAAGTTGATTATCTGGGCCTGTTTATTCAGGTTTCGAGGTCAGAGGTCTAATATGGATAAGAAAAGGATTGCTATTGTGAATAACATCTGATGAGACTAGGATCAATGAGTACAATCCACTTGGTTTACTCTGTAGACTTAGCCAGGTGTCTGCTATATTATATTAAATTTTCTAACTGAGGTGATCTATAAATCCTGTCAAATAAATAAATAGATATCCATAAACAAAATTTTGGAGATTGCACGAAGAAAGAAATATCAACATTTCAATGAAAATTCCTTTGAGATTTGTTAATTATTTTCTTAGAATTAATACTGAAAGTATCTTTTCAAATTTTTAGAGTTCTTTTTCCCCTATGAAAGCTGACACTTGAAATTAAAGCTCTTGGAAATATTTTTTCTCTTTTCTCAACCTTGGTCCAGCAAATTTTGTCCTGTTTTAAAAGTAGAGCAACTTAGAGCAATATTTTATATACTTTAAACAGAAGAATGGGGTGGGGTATCTTTCTAGAGACATGACAAAGGATATCTCTCATGAACACATGGATTATATGCCTACAGCTATTTGCCAAGGAGCTGGCTGATTGCTCACAATCCAGATTGAGCTCCAATTCAAAAATACAATTACATTAATAAGTTTAGGCTTCTATTTTAATTGTAGTAATTTTTGCACAAAGAAATATGCTCCTTTCTTAACAAATACATACTTTTTGCATGACAAGAAAAAACATTTACAAAGTGTCATTATACACTTGAATATAATGAAAACATTCAGGTTACTGTCTTCTTTTTAAAATTTTGTATAAATGATAGAGAAGTTCATAGTATTAAAAGATGACCAGAATTTGTAAATTTTTCTGGTGTTATTACTAATATGAATTAAGCGTCTTTAAGAAGTTAAAAGTTTTGCTTCAAATTGCAGAATTCAATGCGAGCTACAGTGGAGCTACATGAAGGTAAATGTAAAAGCTATCCATCAATTAAAACTTTAGTCACTTTGGGAAAAGAAGACCTATCAATAAAGGTAAATAATAAGCTAAAATGTAAAAAAAAATCTTGTTTTATTTGTTAACTGAGGTAGAAAACAACTGTATATGTTGAGTAAGTTCCTTTGTGAAAAATGTATTTAACATAAAAGGGAACACAGGTTGAGAAATTTTTATGACAAGATATAGGTTAATTTTCTCTTAGATAAAATTTTATTTCAAATTATTATGATTATTTGGCTCTCTGAATATTTATTGACACATTCATTGTAGTTTACGATGAATTAAGCAGGCTTTTCTAACATGGGCCACCTGCTTTTCAGTACACTATAGTTAGGATTGTGTTTATCAATATAGGGAGGCTAGATATTAGACTTACTTCATGAATGATGAATTTATGTTTTGGAATTGCTGCATCTCAGTCTCTCTACTCTAGATCTGTAAATCTACATTGGAAATTGTAGACAAAAATGGTGTTCTGTTAGTTCCTTGAAGGACATTCGGTTATATCAATTTCTGGTTTTATTCTATAGATAAGTGATAAAGGTGGTGGTGTACCTTTGAGAAAAATAGATCGTCTTTTTAATTATATGTATTCAACTGCTCCCAGGCCTAATTTGGAGCCATCAAGAGCTGTACCTCTGGTAAGTTCTTTTCTGCAAGCTAAAATGTTCCCCGGATTGTTTTTCAACATAAAGCACATTAAGAGAATAATCGTTTGTAATATGAACACAAGCTCGTCACTTGAGATGTTGTCATAATAACACATACATAACAGAGTCTAAATTATAGGGTATTAATGTTTAGGTTATTAATGTGTTGTTAAACTTAAAATCAATATATGGGATATGTAGTAAAAACATACTTTAAAAAATTGAAAAGTGTAATACCTAATGTTTGCCATCCATTCTACAGATACTTAGTTTTAGCCTTCATAGGGTTGGCAAAAGAAACATAGCAATAGTAGTCCAGTAACTCTCATGTATTCCTATAGAATTCTTTCTGACTTTTTTATATTTTGTATTTTTTATCAGCTGTCAAACTCATGCATCAGTTTATATAAATCACTGTTTGTATAACAGGAATGTGATTACTTTCCATGTTGCCATTTCCATACATTTCATGAAAACAGTATGCTCACAATTTTCAGTTGTGCTGAACATGAATTCTGTGACTTTGTTTCGGTACTGGGGAAAATAGTAGAATTTAAAATAAGAAACAGCCTTGAACTGTTTGAATAAAATCCTTGGTGGAGTACCATTCAGTAAGCATTCTGTTTCATGTAGTTTAATAAAAATGCAATTAAAAACGCTATACAAGCCATCATCGGGAATGGATGGATGGATGGATGGATGAATGAATGAATGAAAACACACACACACACACACACACACACACACACACACACACACACACACCAGGAACAGGAAGTACCTCAGGAGCAGATAAAAGTAAATCCTAGAAGAGGCAGGAAATGCGTCACAAAACAATGGAGATGAATGCTAGAGAGGAATAAAGCTGCATACAAGGCAGATATAACACCTGTAACATTTTCCCCTTTTCATATTTACATTGTAAAAGTTCAGATGAGAATCAGTACCAATACTTTCTACAGATTAAGTGTATCGGGTGGTTGTGAACATCTGCCAATATGGGTGAGGCAGACATAATACCTGTAACACATTCATGTGAAAGTGAAGTCAGAATAGTTAAACTATCTAGTGAAATGGATATTTATACATTTTGAACTTATCCTTCTAACTCTCCCTCTTACGTTTTTAAATAAGTAATATTAGTAGCACAAATACCAAATTTGAATGTTTCTAAAGGACTTTTAAGTTCTTTAACTTAAATTATTCATAATTCTAGTTGAGTTGTCAAATAAATACAATCACCTTTATATAGCACATATCTGCAATATTACACAACCTATTATGGAAAAATGGTTGGTTAAATTGACAGATCTTGCTGAGATGGATAAACTAACACTTGTTTTTGTTGATTTCCAACAAAAAAAGTATATATTACTTCATAAATGGGCAAGAACTTTTGTAAATTTTTAAAATCTCTGAATTCCTTTTTTAAATATAAAAAGATTTCTTTTTTTTTTTCAATTTTCAATTATTTTTTCAATTAAAAATTAGAAAACAGTTGGGGGACTTCCGGGTTGCCGGGCTTCGGCGACAGCAGGGATTCGCATTTCTCCGCGATCCCTGCTGTGCTCGCTGTCTTGGTGCCTCCGATCCAGACGGATCTGGAGGATAAGGCTGCCCTGTAGAGGCAGCCGAAGATAGGGAGGATCTGGGAAGGGGTTTGTGGGTGTCGCAGACCCCCTCCTCACCCAGCTTAACCTCCTTTTCTCAAGGCGGTGCAGCGGCGGTCAGTGATGGCCGCCACAAAGAAGCCAGCAGCTGGAAAAGATTGTGCTGGAGGAAGAAGGAGAAGGAAGATTCAAAAGTGAAAGTGCTGGCTGTGCCGGGAAAATAACAGCTTCTAAAATCCTGGAGTGGAATTGTTTATTGCCTGAAAGATACATTGTTTCCCTAAGAAGAGAAGAGCGGCGGAGAAAGCTGCTAAGGGAAAACTTTTTTTTTTCTACTTACTCTCCCACCCCACAGAAACATTAAATGCAAAACTGGAAAATACATTGGGCACCGAAGGTATTTTAACCTGAAAGCTATCAGAGAAAGGACTTTGGACTTAACAACCTCAGAAATTGGAAAGCCCGCATTGGAGGTATGGATTTCTGAGCATTTAAAGGGAAATTGTTGTTGTAAGTGGTGGGAGAGGAAAAAAAACTTTTTGGAGCAGAGCTTGAAAAAGGAGGAGACTGCCTAGAATTTTAAAGAAAGATACATTTTAATGGGAACCTTTTGATCAATCAGTAACCCCAGAAAGAGAAATTGAAGAAGGTAAAAAAAAAAAAGCATTGAAAGAAACAGTTTATTTGGACTTTTTAGTGACTTTGGAATTCTTTTGGAATTACTCTTGATTAAAAATACTTGGGTGGTTATTTTTGAAGAAGTCTTTCTCTTCATGATGGCATTGCTTTTGGATGAATTAAAAACTCAATACCAAAAATATAAGAAAGAAGAGCAAGATGGAAAAGATTCTTTGGGCACTCTTTTTCAATTTTTAGAAATGGCGGTACGCACTTATGAAAAATTGACTACGCAGCAGGATGACCGGAACAAAGAAGAAGAAGAAGCCATTTTGGATGAGCAATGGGTCTACTTTGGGGAGGAGGAGGAAGAGGAAAAGAAAAAGGGGATCTTAAGGGTAGAGAAAACAATCCAAAAAGAGAAAAATGAGATGAAAGCTGGATATAAGGTTAGAAAACAACAGAAAGTGAGTAAGCAGAAGAAGAAAAGGGAGGAGGAAAGACAATGGGGTAAAAAAGGCAAGGAGAAAAACAAACAAGTGAGAAAGGAGGGGATGAAAAATCTTAATGGTGGGAAGCAAGACTTTAAGAAACAAAATCTATTTAGAGACAATGGGTAAATTTAATTGAAAAAGGGATTCTGGAAGGTACATAAAAGTGTGTTTTTCTATGTGTATTTAGAGTAGAATGTGTATTAGTATGTATGATTTGCTCTTTTATGGTATTTCTGGTGGGTTATAGGCTTACATTTTGTAATTGTAGCATATTTGCTTTTCTTATAAAGTTTTTTGTGTAATTCTAGAATGTACTAACCAGAATTTCAATATAATTTAAGTGTTATATTAAGTATTCTTAAGTTAGGGAAAAGAGTTAAAGGTGTTACTCCAATTAGTGTACAGGAGAAGTATATTTAAAGAAAAAAGATGAATGGATAACTGTAAAAGAACAGACAAAAAATGATAAGTACTATGAATTGTATTGAGATAAGATAAACAAAATATAATTAAGAAAGATAAAAGAGGGAAGAAGTTATATAGAAAATTGAAAATGGTAACAAGATATGGATTGACATATAAAGTAAATATTATTTTTGAATTTGTGTCTATGCGAAGAGTTTTAACCCGGGATTAAGCATCTTTCAGAAATGAGGTTTTTTATGTTCTATGTTATGTATGTTTTGTCTATTGTTTTTTTTTAAAGGCAAAAATTTTGATTAGTAAGAAATATAATCTGGACAATAGAATGAAAAGGAGAAATTGAGATAGGATATGAAGATGAGCAGATAATGTAAATGTACATATTACATTAGGCACGTTTTACTGGTTCTTCCAGAAAGATTCTTTATGTTAATATGCCTTGACTGTTTGTATGTTTTGTAAAGTTAACAAAATCTGTTTTTTTTAAAAAACAAAAACAAAAATAAGTCAGAGGAAAATATAAGTGTGATGATTGAATAAGTAGATAAACTAGAAAAGAAATGTTATTGAATAAGAGTAAAGAGAAATGTGAAATCTGTTAAAGGGAATTTATGTGCCTACATGGAAATGAGATAAACCAGAAAACTGCGATATAAAATAATGTGTTACCTGCTTTGTAAAGATCTATGATGGAAAGCGGTTTTATGTTTTTAATGTTTAATGATGTTTGGTTTTGTTTGTTTCTTGTTAAAATTAATAAAATTGGTTTCAAAAAAAAAATATTCTGGAAAAAAAAATAGAAAACAGTTTACATTTTAATTATTTAGAATTTTTAATTTCTTAACAATCTAAGAGAAAAAAATAAACACAGAAAAAAAGATTTCAAAACAGGGAAGATAGTGATGATTTTTTCAAGATAGAGAACAAATGGCCAAGAATTCTTGTAAACTATTGTAAACTGACATTTTGCAACAGGGAAAATATTTAATTTTTAGAAATCTTTATTTTAAAAAAAAACAAAACAAAGAAAGTCATGGAAATAGAGACTGATACTACACTGGCTTGCAGAGTATGTCATATGTTTCAGTTTATGCCCACAGAAGAACCAGACTATGTATGTATCAAATGTAAACTAGATTAGATGAAATCTGGCTCAAAAACAGTAACTGTGAGAGGGACCTTAGAGTCCTAGTGGACAATCATTTAAACATGAGCCAGCAGTCTGTGGCAGCAACCAAAAAAGGTAATACAATCCTTGGTTGTATAAACAGTGACATACAATCAAAATCATGTGAAGTATTAGTACCACTTTGTAAAGCCTTAGTAAAACCACATCTGGAATACTGCATCCAGTTTTAGCCATCACATTACAAAAAAGATGTTGAGACTCTGGAAAGAGTGCAGAGAAGAGCAACTAAGATGATTAAAGGCCTGGAAATAAAACATGAAGAACGATTGCAGGAATTGTGTATGGCCAGTATAGAGAAAAGAAGGAATAGGGGCAACATGATAGCAATATTCCAATATTTGAGGGGCGGCCACAAAGAATAGGGGGTCAGGTTATTTTCCAAAGCACCAGAAAGCAAGACAAAAAGCAATGGATGGAAACTAATCAAAGAGAGAAGCAACCTGGAATTAAGGAGAAACTTCCTAACAGTGAAGACAATTAACTGGACAATTAACTTAATTAAATCACTGGAAGTTTTTCAGAAAAGACTGGACAGCAATCTTTCTGAAATGGTATAGAGTCTCCTGCTTGAGCAGGGGGGTTGGACTAGAACAGCGGCTGCCAACTGGTGGGCCGCGACCTACTGGTGGGCCGTGAGAAAATTTTGGTGGGCCACCGAGAAATCTCACCCCCAGAGCACCCCCACAAAGCAATTAAACCAGGCTGCGCAGAAACACAAGGCTGCACTGCCCACATGGCCCCCGGGAACCTTCACCGCTCACTTACTCCTTACCCAGTAAACTTGCCTGCTAAATTGCTATTTTTCCTTTTTCCGACCATCATCTGTTCTGTTGTGCCGGGAGATTTAGATTAGCTAGGAAGCAGGAAATAGTTGGATTTCTTGCTTTCTAGCTAGTCTTTAGATCTTCGGCTCAGCACAGCCGAACCTCCCTTAGGACTGAAGGTTTGCTTGCAAGCAAATTCAGTGCAGACTCATGGCAAGCAAATTTGAGAGACTGAGCTAGCCGATGGCAAATAGATCACTGAATGATTCTGTGAGCAACTCAATCTGTCTGCTTTGCCTGATTTTGGGTAAAAGTTGCTCTTTTTTAAAATAAAAAATTCAATATTTACATGCATGATGTGTTGTGAGTTAATTTTGTGAATTTGCTTGCTAGCAAATTTTATGTGACAGACTGAGCTAGCCAATGGCAGATAGATAGATCTCTGAATGAATCTGTGATTCTGTGAGCAACTCAATCTACCTGCCTGCTTTGCCTGATTTTGGGTAAAACTTGCTCTTTTTTATAAAAAAAAATCATTATTTATATAAATATTTCTAATATTTACATACAAGCTATGCCCAGCCAGTCACATGACCACCAAGCCACCCCCACAAATTAAGCCATGCCCACAGAACCAGTTAGTGATCCCTGGGGTCTAAAATTATGAGTTTGGTGGTCCCTGAGGTCCAAAAGGTTGGCGACCCCTGGACTAGAAGACCCCCAAGCTCTCTTCCAGCTCTATTCTGATTGATATTGATTAAAGAAATATATAGTGTAGAATTATGTACTTTTGTTGGTGACTGAACACTTCTAGTGGTTTTATTCAAAAATGAAAAAATGAACTTGTGACTTACAGCTTTGATGAATAGACAGGATAGATTATATAGATAGTCCTCAATTTACAACCATCCATTTAGTGACCATTCAAAGTTACAACAGTACTGAAAAAAGTGACATGGCCATTTTTCAAATTTACAACCGTTGCAACATCCCTATATTCATGTGATCAAAATTCAGGCATTTTGCAACTGGCATGTATTTATAACAGTTGTACTGTTGCAAGGTCATCTGATCACCATTTGTAACTTCCCAGCTGGCTTCCAACAAGCAAAGACAATAGGGGAAGCCAGACTCACTTAACAACTGCATGATTCGCTTAAGAAGTGCAGTGATTTACTTAATAACTGCAGCAAAAATGTCATAAAATGACTTTAACACCTCCCCTGCCAAATTTTGGGCTCCATTGTGGTTGTAAAGGCTACTTGTAGAAAATTATAATAAAACTTTAGAGAGAGAAGTTAAAATATAATTTTATTTACAGCTGCTGTGAAATATATTGGAAGAATATTATATCAGCATAGCTGATTTATTACTGACCATAATAAATTGTAATCTAATTAAACCTTTGGAACCTGTCCTTTCTTTTCTATTGTAGATACAAAACTGTTAGGCTGTTTAATAGATGCAGATGCAATGTGCACAATGATCAATGCAGAAGCCATAAAAGAGATTTGGGTTATTCATGTGAAATAATTGCAGTAGGAAACGCAGAATCTGGACTGGAACCTAAGTTGCTGAGATTTGTTCTTTGTTACGTATGTTTGAACGTTTAAGATAGACTCTGTGCTGTGAGGAATCTTCATTTTATCTATTATGCAATAGTTTGTAAAAATGGTTCAAAATAAAATACAATCATGTAGAATAATTTTTCTTGCATCTCTAGATGGCACTCGATTCATAACATATAAAAGAGAACATGCAGCAGCAATAAGTAGAACAAGTGATTTGGAGAAAATGACAGAAAAATATGTATTTTTTTAAAAAAATTAGGATACTAGCAAAGTCTTCGAAAAATATTATGTTGAGATTGTTAGCTGGCATTCAAATAAAATAATTGTACTTTTCCCTAGAAATAAACCTGACTATTACAGTCATAAAAATAAAAAGCTATTGGTATATTATTTAGAAAGAAGAGACCCAGTTTCAAAATGTCTCTGAACCATAAATCTTAACTGGAATCGGAGTGACCCACTTTGTGATTGTCAGGGTATGGGAGAGCACTGCTTGTAATTTAAAAATGATGTTAATATAGATAAGATATGGATGAAATTCAGAATTTGTGACTAGAAAATAACTTAATGCTGTTCTGAGAATTAAAAAGGTATTTGAAAGCCACCACTTGTCAATTCCATGTATTTATAATAAGGCCTCAATTTAATAGACTTATAGGAGGAAAGGAGTGTCCATTAGAGCTGATATATCTTTAATGTGACTGGGATTCTATGGTACATATGTTGCAGATAACAGATAATCAAAGTTGGAAGGGACCTTATAGGTCACCTAGTCCAACCCCCCGCCCAAGCAGGAGACCCTACACCATTTCTGACAAATGGCAGTCCAATCTCTTCTTAGAGGTCTCAAGTGATGCGCTCCCACAACTTCTGAGGGCAAGCATGTTAGGAATGTAAGTCACCTAACAGTTGGGTTGGAAAATATATAAACTAGGATAGACATTTTAATACTGTCTCTTTAAGGGAATGCTAAAATTGTAATTGGGTGTGGTTCCTCAAATGGCCAAAAGATGGAGCCAGAAACCTGGGTTCTGTTCTGTTGTTGCTGACGGTGTTGCTGTTCATGCATTGACTGTTGCTGATCATCGTTAGTCTTGGATTTGATGTAAGTCTGTTACTGAACTGTTTTTGATACTGGACTTTGTTATTAGGTTATCTCTGGACTGAAAACTGACTGCTTTAACTGTGAATGATTTGGACTGTTTATTGAACTTTGCTTAACGGTTTTACTGGAAGTAAAAACCTACATTTTACTATACAGTGTATCTGTGTGCTGGTTGTGTGTTATTCTTCACCACTCTCACTACGTCTTCCTGTGTGCACTCATTCTCCTAATGGCGAATTACCTCAACAAAGCTGTTCCATTGGTTGATCGTTTTCACTGTCTGAAAGTTTCTTCTTATTTCCAGGTTAAATCTCTCCTTGTTCAGTTTCCATCCATTATTCCTTGTCTGGCCTACAGGCGCTTTAGAAAATAGCTTGACCCCTTCCTCTCTGCTTCTCAAATATTGGAAGACTGCTATCATGTCTCCCTTGGTCCTTCACTTCACTAGACTAGACAAGCCCAGTTCCTGTAACCATTCTTCATATGCCTTAGTCTCCAGTCCCCTAATCATCCTGGTTGCTCTGTACATTAAAAAAGCAGTTGCCATTTTATGCATGTAATTTTCATTTTTATGTAAAAAGATGCATAGCATAACAAATGCTTTTTGTTCTCATAGTGAAAGGTATTTTTAATTATAAAAACAGGGGTCTCTGAAGATTCCTGCTTCTGTCACTGTTAACATTTCAGATTTTTTAATTCTTCTGTTACTGGTTTTTTTCTTAGGCTGGATATGGGTATGGTCTTCCAATTTCTCGTCTTTATGCTCGATATTTTCAAGGTGACCTCAAATTGTATTCTATGGAAGGAGTGGGTACAGATGCAGTAATCTATTTAAAGGTAATAATGGATTATAAGAGGAACATTATGAATGTACTCTACTAAGTCTTGAGGTTTTATAGCTGATTATATTTTGGTATCAAGGGAAGTGCTTTATTGCTATGCATTTGCATCAGAAGTCATTCTGATTTACTCAGGATAATATTTTTCCACATTCTGGAAACATTTTCTTGAATTCTTTATTCATAGATAATAAAATGGCCTTCGGAATCAGATTGGTAACGAAGTTCAGTTGTAACATTACTAAACTTTTCTCTGTTTATTCTTTCTAATAAAGCTGTTCTTAAAATGGAAACATTGAGGTAGAAAGCATTATTTCAGCTAACAGGCAATTGAATATTTCATTATTGAAACCCAACTCCAAATCTGAATTGAAATATATTTTATTGTAAGGCTTCAGTAATTAAATATGATTATGTGTCTGCAGTAAGAAGATATAAATCCACATGCTGTAGTACAAACAAAAGTACAGAAAGTGAAATAAAGATTGAAAATATAAAATATGTAATAAAATACATATTCCACTGAATGTGTATTGAGCATGTACACGTTCTTCATTTAGGATGATCTCTCTCACTTCATTGAATTTTCTTGTAATCAGTTAGAATGATCTGAAGCATATTTTTATTCCTGTTTCTTTCTTTAGGCACTATCAAGTGAATCATTTGAAAGACTACCAGTTTTTAATAAGTCAGCTTGGCGACATTACAAAACCACTCCAGAAGCGGATGATTGGAGTAACCCTAGCAGTGAACCCAGGGATGCTTCCAAGTATAAAGCTAACAGATAATTCATCAACATTTTCACCTTGATACATACTTGCATTCAACAATGCTTTGTTTCAGTTTCCAAACTCCTCTAAATAGATTTCTTTAGAAAGATCTGTTAAGGAATTTGAAATAGCAAGAACAGAGGACTTTGAAGGACTGGCATTATGCATTTTTGGTGTGAGTTATTGTAATTATTTTGCCAAAACATGCTTGATTACTAAGTCATAAATTAGAAAGAGGATTGCACTATGACTGCAGTTAGATTATAAAATTGTATAGTAAAGGGGTACTATTTTTAAGATCAGTTTCTAGTTATTTGAAATAATTGAAAAAAAATGTTTTGACGTTATTTGACAGTAATGTCTTGCACAGCAATATAATGCAATAGAAAAATTCTTGTGTACTTGAATGTGTGCATAGAAAACTCATTGCTGCATTTTTATATGACGCTATAATCCGTTATCTAAAAAAATGCTCATCATTATGGAGATTTGTCAGATCTTATATCGGTATATGATTTTTGATATTATCCAAAAAGTCATTACGGCCTTAAATGTTTTGTTTCTAATTCCCAGTTTTCCCAAAGCCAGATATTTAATACTGATTTAGTTTTTATGTAAAGACTTTCATTTTGCAGGCATGATCCTAATAAAGGTTTCCTTTTTTTGTTAATAGCTTCAATGCTGTAAATGTGTAAACTGCCTCTTCTGTTAGGCCAAATCTATTGATAAATAAGACAATTATGTTTTATAATTGAAGTATTTTCTACTGATCATAAAGAAATACTGGCTTCATAACATCAAATATTTAATTTACAATATTAATATTATATGTTAGTCATTTGAGACCCATTTGTTAAAATGAAAATAATTAGCAAAAAGATCATAAAAGGAATGTCAAATATTGTTAAATTAAATAGTGAACAGCACCCTGACATGTCTAAAAAAATTTTTTTTAATGGAAACAAGGAATAAAAGTGAATCAGGACACATTTGAATGATACTGCCTCTAATATGGCTAGAAATAGAATTTGATTTTCAAAGAAATCAAGTAAGAATTCTTGTAATATTTTTTCACAGAAGCAATATTAAAGTGCGGAGAGCTTCAGAATACACACAAAGAATCTTCGTTATCTTTAGATTGTTATCTTTGTTTATGTTTTGACAAGAAGCTATCAATAAATTCGTGATACAGTTCTAATCTGAAAATAAGGAGAAAGTTTGATTTATTTATTTTTTTGCCTAGATGGTTATAATTACTATGGCAATCTTTATTTAGATATAGCAAGAATCTTAATTCCTAATTAAAACGAAGTACCTGAGTTGCAATTAAGTCATCTATAGCTTTGTTTTGAAACTTTTTTGATATACATATTTGTGTCTCTAATTATATACATGCATTTAATCATGTTTATTAAAGTTATGCTGTTGCCTTCTTTCTCAGCATCAGAAATCTTTTGTACTCTGAAAAATATCCCTATTAGCTCTATGTATATGTCCAGTAGCTCACAATTTAATTAAAAAGAAAATAAAGTATAGAGTGATCAATATAAATCAACTTTTAGAAGTCCTAATCTTGTGTGTAGAACTATTAATCTTACTGGGTTAAAGTGTCTTGGCCAGGACTGTCAAACTCGCAGCCCGCAGACCAGATGTGTCACACACTGGCCACACCCAGTTTAGCGAAGGGGGGGAAGTTGGGATACATCACATGACACTGCCACAATGCGAGTTTGACACCCCTGTCTTAGCACCTTAAAAAGCAGATGTAGTAAACTCTTTGTTTTTCATATGGAAAGGACAAGAATGAAAAAATGGTTTAGTCACTATAAGATACATTCAAATCCTCTTCCAGAAGATTTGGAATGGATACTATTTGATCGAATGCCAGTTTCATTGGTGATATTCTACCCATTCAGCGCAGTTCTGGTGTACTGTAGCACCGAAGAACCGGTTCACTCCGAGTCTCTCCAATGCTCTGCAGTTGGGCCCACCCACCCACCTCTGCTCCTAGGTCCTTTTTAACCTCTCAGCTGTTTGGCATGGGAGAGCGGATTGTTGTACTAAACTGCTGAGAGGCGCAGTAGCTTTGTTTTTACTGTTTTAATGTGTGTGCAAAGTGTATGCTTGGCGCAACGCGCGAATCACGTGACCCCCACCAAGCCACGCCACAGAACTGGCGGTGGGAACTTTTGAATCCCACCACTGGCTAGTTTGGTGTAGTAGTTAAAGCATCAAGCCAGAAACTGGGAGATTGCAAATTGTAGTCCCACTTCAGACACAAAGCCAACTGCATGACATTGAGCCAGCCACAGTTTCTTGGCAGAAGGAAGAAGGCAGTGGCAAACCACTTCCAAATATCTTGCCAAGAAAACTGCAAGGATTAATTCACATTAAGTTAAAGGTATCCCTGCCTCCCAAACTACACTTGTAGTTTAAACTTACCGTTTATACTCGAGTATAAGTCGACCCGAATATAAGCCGAGGCACCTAATTTTGCCACAAAAAACTGGGAAAACTTATTGACTCGAGTATAAGCCGAGTTTTTCAGCACATTTTTTGTGCTGAAAAACCCCCCCTTGGCTTATACTCAAGTGAGATTTCCTCTGAAAAAAAAAATGGTGTGGAGCTCTGGAGCTGGGCAGCCGCTTCCCTGCTTCCGTGTTTCCTTTGCAACTTGTAAGCATGGGGGTAATCAGGAGCAGAAAAGTTCTTGCATGAGGATATATTGTTTTTTCTTTTTTTAACTGTTTTTAGGGCGGGGGGAAGACCGACCGTCATGTGAGAATGCTCAGGCACGAAATCTATCCGCCTGAAAATAAGTGTGTGTGGGGGAGGGGACTTTAACAGAGAGAAGACATAGGGAGAAGGCAAAAGCGATGGAAGATCCTTCAGGGGAAACTGAGGGGAAGACTCACCCTGGGTCCAGATGAGCCCCCTTCCCCACCCCTAAGGAAGCAGAGGCAGCCAGCAAGGGCAGGCAAGCCCTGCTTCGCGGACTCTGTCCGTCCTCACTCCCACCCACCCACCCACCCAAAGCCACAAAGTCCCTCAATCGTGCAGCCCAGAATCGCCCTCCCCTCAGGGGGCAGCAACGACACCCGGTGTTTCCTGAGACAAGAAGCTCCGCCGTGCAATGAAAGCGCCCTGGCTCTAGGCTCAGAAAACAACGTGAGCCAAGGTGGCTTCGTTTCCTCAGCCCCAGCTGCTTTCAGTCCGCTCGGGAGGAGGAGAAGGTGGTGGTGGCGGCTCGCGTTGTTTTCTGAGCTCTCGTCTTTCCCCCCCTAAAAACAGTTAAAAAAAGAAAAAACAATATATCCTCATGCAATAACTTTTCTGCTCCCAATTACCCCCAGGCTTACAAGTTGCAAAGGAAACACGGAAGCAGGGAAGCGGCTGCCCAGCTCCGGAGCTCCACACCTTTTTTTTTCAGAGGGAATCTCACTCAAGTATAAGCTGAGGGGGTTTTTTTCAGCACAAAAAATGTGCTGAAAAACTCGGCTTATACTCGAGTATATATGGTAGTTAAAACTTGCATTTCTATCTTAGGTATGACTTCCATTTGATGTGAAATTATTTTTAAAGATATAGTGTTGCCTTCTGGAACTTCTTTTTTATTCCTAGTGTGCAGTCTTGGAATTTCCTGAAATAATTTCCCATCCAGGTATTAATTAGTTATGACCCTATGAACTTTTCAGGGTCAGCTGAGATTGGCTGAAACCACTTAACTAGCTGTTTAGTTGTTGGCCATTAGATAAAAAATAAGGCCGAGATAAAAGCAAATAATATGTACTGGTAGATGATTTAGTGTTCCTCCTTTCTGTCGTTTCAGTATATTGTTGTGCTCTTTTATATAAGCTGAGGTCTAAAATATGGGCAACTTCCATGCTGAAGTCATTCTTGTTTTACAGACAGAAATTTGATTTAAATGTAAATGCAGCATTTTAATGTTTGAAAAATTGTAGCGATATTATCTATATAATAACTTGAAACCAAATTAGAAATTAAATTCAGTTCTATGTCTGTTATATATATAAAAATAGTACTGAAGTAAAATAGTATTAGGAAGAAAAGTTTCATAAAACTTAATCTAGGCTTGTTTCTCTACTAAAATGGCTCTCAAATGTTTTTTTATCTATATCATTTCCCATTTGAGATGCTTGATTTTAGCAAACGGGATAAGGAATCTCCTGCTGCTGCTTTTTTTATTTCCAAAGATTTTCAAAGATTCTGTGGGAATTTTTAAAACAAATAAATTACAGTAAATGTCACTTTAACAGATCAGTTGGGAGGGAATGGCCATTAATTTTGCATATCCATCAAAATACAAATTAAATAATTTGTGGTAACTGAATCAATTGTGCAAATGGCAGATTGAGGAAAATGATGTGATTTGTATCTTTGAGTAAGGATGTCATTACACAAGTGATACAAACTGAGTGTAAATTTAACTAATTTTTAACTGTCTAGAACAGGGACGTCAAACTCAAGGCCCAGAAGCCAGATCTGGCCCAAGGGGTACTTAGATCTGGCCCGCAGGATGGCCCTGGAAACAGTAAAGGACTTCTCAAGCTCCATTTTCACTGGCAGAGGATTGCAGAAGGCCGTGGCAGCTGAAAACAGAGCTTGGGAGCCCATTTTCGCTGGCAGAGCACTCAGGTCACCATAGGCGCCCTCTCCTGACATGAGTGACGTTGAGCTGGCCATGTCCACCCCGGCTCCCAGAGGTCAAACACAACCCTGATGCAGCCCCTCAGTGAAATCAAGTTTGATACCCCTGGTCTAGAATATTTTGGATGCAATTGATGTTATTTTGAGGGAAGTGGAGGTGAAAGGTATAAATTTAGTGAATTATATTTGAAGTCCACTAAATCAAAGTTTTATTGAATTCCATCAAGAACATGGGAAACGTTGGATTCTCAAAGACATCTTGATTGGTTCTGTCCAATTTTACCAAAGGGAGGCAAGTATAGTATACAATATGTGATTTCTCTGCAATACACTTTCTCAAAAATTTCAACATTAATTTTTTTCTGAGAAATGCTCTGGTAGATGCCCTACATTGATGCATCGGAATTCTGGCATTTATTTTTTAAAACATCTGGAATACATTAGTGTCTCAGGAAGGATAGATTGGGGAGAGAGTGGGGGCAAAAATATGTCCAGCGTAATCAGTACCTTGTGATATAGAATAGAAATCAGCAAAAATGTAGAGTGCTTGCTAATGGATAAAAGCATTGTGCTTTTTCTCTTCCTTTTTTAAGTATCAAAAAAAAGTCAAAAAACTGTGGGAAAATAAATGAGGTTATAAAATGGAATATTAAACATTTCAGTTGATTTAAAATGTATATTTGTGTTGAAGGTAAAAGTACAGTAAAGGTTTCATTTGGAAAAAACCCAGAGAGGGCAGTGATTTCAGAATTAACTTTTAGAGACATTAGGAAGAAAATGACTGGATTCATGTATGCAATATTTAGTTTATTTAACCATTGATAGTTCACATATCACACTAAGAAAAATCAACCAAGCCATCCTCTAGTGTAGCACAATGTATGAAAGCCACTAAGTTGTTTTATTTCTTTCATACAGGTAGCAATAACGGCAGTGCCAGATCTTGGCTGATGCAAAGGGAAAGTTTCAGCTATCTTGGGATCCTCCTGCTGTAAGAACATCATGTCTCCATCCTTATAGTGTGCTGTACTCCCTTCTCTCAAAATAATTTGAAAACCTAGGATTTAACAGCATCTTAAAATTCTTTGCATCTTGGCTTTCTTCCCTGAAATTGAAATTGCCCTCAATCAAATGCTTCACTGGTGCTTTACACATTCCAAAGAAATTAGTCTGTTTTTAAATTCATTAATCCTGTTAACCTAAATGGAAGTTATATGTCACTGTTAGGTAGTGGTATTTCTATTTTGTAAGAATAGAGCTTTATTTGGTTAGAAAGCCTTTTCCTTTCCTAAGAGAAGGAAAAATTGGTTGATGCGCATTTATTGAATATAATCAAATATTAGCTCATTGGTATAATATGAGAGGAAATAGCTCCTTTTGCATGCTTTTAAAATTATTTTTAATAATGAAATAAAAATAAGAATAATGCCAGCAGGAAGAAATGACAATGATTATAAATGAAGAAAATGTAAAATAGCAAAATATATTGTGATGATTAAAATAAAAATAAAAAGAGGAAAAACTAACAAAAATGTAAACAGATTCCTATGATATCCTATGGTATTGGTACAAAATTAATCCAGCCCATATATTAAATGTCAGATGAAAGTGTATTTCATCTTATTTTCAGAACACATAAACGTGTAAAAAGGACAGAAAATCGTATCCTGAACCCAAACCTTAAAAACAGATGGATACGCTTGTTTGCATTTAGATAAAATTTTTCTCTTAGCCTTGCTCAGGCTTGATAAAGCCAAAACAGATTCCATGTTTTACATATATATTTCAATATCATATTAAGTGTTTGGGCGGGGGGGGGTGTTGTTTCTCAGAATTTACTGACAAATATATTAATTTGAAAACAATATGATGTAGCTGAACCAGATCAGATTATATGAATTAAGGAATCTTCAAATCTTTTTACAGCATTAGCATAAAAATACTTTAATACCTAACTAACCCTTTTAAAACAGTTAAGAATGGTAAAAAAGCATGATTTACTTTCTAGTGAATTTTGTTTTTAAATCATAAGTATAGTTTATATTTTTTAATATTAGAATCACTGATTCTTCAAAATTAGAGTATTCCAGCTTCATTCCACAATTTAGATGAAGAATTGATATAACTTTATTTTTTATTTAAATTGGATTAATGATTTCCATTAGAGTGCTGCTTCTATTGAGGATCCTAAAATTTCAGGTAATGTATTTGGGTCGTTTTGCTTAATAGATCTGTCAGCTGTGTCTACTGATATGTGACTATTGTAGGAAAGTCATGTTCAAAATGTAGTCTCACAAAAGTTTTTAAAACAACCTTTAGAAGTCAACAAGTTCAAAGTACAGGTAGTCCTCAAGTTACAAATGTAATGGAGCCCGCAAATTACATTCATAACCCAAAGTTTTGTAGGAGTGAATCACGAAACTTAAACATGATCACTCTCATCTTTTGCCCACACATTTGCTAATCGAATGTGTGGGTTATTAAGTGCACATGAGGTATCTCAGAGTAGGGAAGGCCATGGGAGGCCTATTGCTTTCCCTGACCCACTCTCTTGCTTCCCTCCCCCCCCATCCTGCCCAACCAGGTCACTTATCTTAGGTAGTTTTTAATCATCAATGATAGTCCTCTTCATGATTTTGCTTGGAGCAAGGGGCTTGCCGAGGCCTACAGGGATGAGAGATTGAGACTGTATTTGCAAAAACTTTTTGCTGGCAAAAATGGAGGCTGGGAAGGGCGCACCTGCCCCTCCAGGCCTACATTCTCGCTGTCAAAGGCCTCCTCAGGCCCTTTGCCAATGAGAACGGAGGCCCAGAGGGATTCACACACCATCCTACCCTCTTCTTTCCAGCAGAGGGCTTGAGGAGGCCCTTGCCGGTGAGAACAGAGGCCGGAGAGATGCATGTGGCCCTCCTGCCCTCTGCTGTCATTGACAGAGGGCCTGAGGAGGCCTTCACCGATGAGAACAGAGGCTTGGAGGGACCCACTTGGCCTCGGTTCTTGCTGGCAAAAAAGCCCTTTGCCAACTAAAAATGAAGGTTCGGGGGTATGGACATGCCCTTCCCGGCCTCTGTTCTGGGCAGCAAAGGGCTTTTGCAAATATGGCAAAAGGCTTTGCAAACATAGGGAAAGCTTCAGTGCTTCAGGTCTTCCCTCCATTTGGAAAGCCTTTTGGTGCAGATCTCATCTAGGCCTCCGTTTGCAGAGAACAGAGGCCTAAAGTACAGTGAGATAAGGTGAGATCAGTAGCATGAGATCTTGCATTACTGATCTTGCAGTACTTTAGACCTCCATGCTCTGTGGATGCACCAGAGACCTGGAGCACTGAACAGGCGAAGAAACTGGAGGCCCCCTGGATCTTTGTAAGGTGTGTATCCACAGGCCTAGTGCCTGTAGAAACCCAGCCCGTGGGGGGGGATTAGGTAGGGCGAATGTTGCAGGGCTTCTGGGATCATTTGTAAATGTGAACAACTGCCATGGTGCTGCAATACGCGTAATTTCGGTACTGTGTTGTACATACTTGGGGTGGGGGGGGGGTCATAACTTTGAATAGTCACTAAGTGAACTCTCATAACTGGAGGATTGCCTGTATCAATCTCTTATTTGCTTAAAGTGTTCCCTTGAGCTATTTTATCTGCTATTTTCACATTTGGCTATTCCTCAATGTTGAATTCTCATGTGATTAAGGATCAAAACATAACCACTTAACTATTAGTAACCAAACATGTCTGGCAACTATCAAGGTTAGTAACAAAAATCCCTCTTTAATATTTGTGTCCTAAAATTTGCCAGTATTTTCAGAGGTGTTCACCTTTACCTCTGTATAGCCAAAGAGAAGAATAAAAATACTAAAATGATTGTTTATTATTGATTCTTTGGGGGCTATATTTTCACCATTTATTCTTAAAATAGTTAGGGTTTCGGCACTTAAATTTACTTCCCATATTTGACTGCATTCTTCTGTCTGAAGCTTTTACCACACGTATGGTGTGTTTTTGTTTCAATTGTAGCATCCTATCACTTAATCTGCTTTAGCAGAGTTTACTGTACAAGACTCCAGTAATCCTTTGAGCACAATTATGCCTATTCTGCCTTTTCTTGATTTTTCCAGCTGGACTCTGTATCTGAAAAGTCCTAGCTCTTTATCTTTGTATCCATCCAAAAGGCTGAAGTTGGTGTGACTGATTATGGTTTGATTGGGAGGGTCATTCTGAACTTAGGACAGATTTGTTAATGACTACCTGAGTGTTTTCAGAAGATATTTTAAGAAAGCAAGCACTGAAAGCAACATTTCCTCCTCCTGTCTGTGTTTGTGCGTGTGTCCGTATGTGTGTGAGAGAAAATGAGTACACGAACCATAGTGCTTCTGTTTGGAGTAGAATGGTAATCTGAAACAACAAATCAGAACCAAAAATATACTGAGTCTGGACAGAGCACCTTAAAACCATGCACCCATACTAGTAAGTATTAGTCTCTTTCTCCAATTGTCCACTGTATCCATGATTTCTGCTGCATCCTATGTCCAAGCATAGGAATAGGATAATTTCATTGAAATGTTGTCACTAGAAGAGTGATGGATTTATTGTTTGTTATTGTTTTTATATTGGGGTTTTATTTTTATTAGCCACCTGGAGTTACTGAGAGGGAATTGGGCAGCAATATAAATTTTCTGAAATAAATAAATGGAAGGAAATCTATTGCCAATATCTCAAGACAGTTGTGGCAGAAGCTATTGTTCATTGGATGATCTTTCTAGCTGTTTCATTGAATTAGATACTTTTACTCATTTTTTTCCTTGTACTGTGTTGAACCTATGCATATATATTTCTGTAATTTCTGTTGATTCTGTATGTACTGTTTGCTCTGGAAAGCCAGGGCACACTGCATATACTCTGGGTCATGTAATTGGGAGAGAGATTAAGGAAATTCCCATCTCACGCACAGCTCAGCTGCCTGTCCCAGAAGGCTTGGGGGCCTCTCTCCTTAACTACATGTGGTCATTTTCCCCAAAGTTCTGTTCCTATTAAGAAAGGTTCTTTTTGCATTATGTGCTCCATTCTGGCACAAGAATCCTTAGCAGCATATTATTTTTGCAAAAACAAAGCAGTGCAAAGGAAAACAGGATGATTTTTTTTTTCATTAATTCCTTCATTTTGATACAGTTCCTTTCTTGCAAACCAGTCCCAGGACATAGATTACTATAAAAAGAAAAGATGTATAGACTCTTTGCCAAAAGTTACCACGCTGATGCTCTGGATAGAGCCTGGTGAGCAGGTGTGTTTTTGGGGAATTATGTGAGAAAGAATGTCAAAAATACATGTCTGATTTTACACTTCTCAATTAGAGCATGTTTCTGAGCTTGTAAATCTCATATGCTATACACAACTGAATGGATAAAATGATCATATTAAATACATGAAGTGTAACATAGGTGGCCTGTTGAAATCTAGATTGATTTGTTATGTCATGATTCAGTAGACTGGGCAGTGGTTATTTGCCTTTTTATACTTGTGTTCTAAAAATTAATACTTCAGAATAAAAAATAATTTAGCATTTTAAATATTTCTAGACAATAGTGGTTAAAGGTTGAGGAAGAAGGATTAAAACTGAAAATGGTTTTTTTTTATAACTCATTCAGGTGATTTTTTTTTTTACAACATACTGTAAATAAGAGTTGAAGTACATGGAAGATAATAGATTTTGGAGGATAATATGTTCTGGGATGCTTAAGTTTTGGCAAGAAATAATATCTTCTCAAATTCTTTAGTTTGAATTGATTTGAATTGAATTAAATTGAACATTATTTGGTGAAAAGTGATTTGATACACAAGGAATTTGTCTCCAGTACAGAAGCACTCAGTGTACATGCAAAGCAACAGAATCATCATCATACTAATAAAAGGTGGGAGTAAAGAAAACAATAAGAATAAATAATAATACTACAATCATGGATAAATATTCATAGACATTAGACAGCACTGTAAGAATTAGATGTTCTGCAGAGTGATGGCACAGAGGAAAAAGCTGACTGTGTTTAGTTGTTTTGGCGTGTGATGCCTAGCACTATCCCAAGGGGAGGAGTTGAAGCAGTTTATGGCTAGGATGCTATGGGCTTAGATATTTTCTCAGCCCCCAAACCTGTGCAATATACAGATCTGTGGAAGGCAGTTGTTCTTTCTGCAGCGTTAACTATCTGTTGGGAGTCTATACCTATCCTATTTAATTGTTGTACCAATTATAGAAGTACAAATGACAAACACAATTCTTCTGTAAAACTCTATCAATAGCTCCTTGGGCTGTCTGAACTTCCCTAGTTGATGCAGGAAAAACATTCTTTGTTGTGTCTTTTTAATGATGGTTTGTGATCAGTAAGCATTTTAAAATATATGTGTGGTGTATCAACATAACTTTCCCCTAGCACTGTTCTGGCACCTTTGTATGACATTCCAGTTGCAAAAACAGAAAGGTGCTGGTCCCAAACTCATGCCCGTTATAGTCATGATCATGGGTAGGATTCAAATTTTTTAACAACCGGTTCTGTGGGCGTGGCTTAGATAGTGGGTGTGGCTTGGCGGTCATGTTATTGGCTGGCCAACTCAACATCACTCAGATCGAGGCACGCATCTCCCCACCTGGCCTCTGATGACTGTGGGGATGCTGCAACAGTCGTAACTGTGAAAAACAGTCATAAGTCACTTTTTTCAGTGCCATTGTAACTTTGAATGGTCACTCCACACAAGCAAAGTACCAGCAAAGGAGGGGAGAAAAACTCCAGAGAAGTTCTGGAGACAGCAAGTCTAGGCCTGTCAAGAATGTAATAAAGAGTTAATGGAGAGGCAGTTTCTGTAAGCAATACCAGAATGTTTCTTTCCTGCCTTCCTTACAGGATTAGGCCAGTAATTTCTTCTAACAACTGGTTCTCCAAACTGCTTAGAATGTTAACAACCGGTTCTAGCGAATAGATGCTAACTGGTAGAATCCCACCCCTGGTCATGATTGCTTGGAGAAGTTACATTCAGCATAAACTTAATATGTTTCTGACAGTGATACACAACAAACCCAGGCATTGCTGCCTTTGTATGCCACCATTTTGACTTCCTCACATGGGTTTGTCTAATGCTTCAGTGTTTTTCTTGAAAGGGTATGTGCATGAGAGAAAGGCCACGGATTTTAATGTCAGAAAAAGAGTTTTAAAACTGAGTGGAGTCTCCATTCATGAGCAGGACCTTGCAACTTGAACTTTTTATGTATTGTTTTAGGGAAGATTCATATTAAAATGAATATTAATCTAGTTAATATTCATTTTGAATATATTCCCATGCTTCAAATTTTAGATAATTAAGGTAGGTAAAAGTATATGCAAATCATTTGGAACAATTTCCTGTTTGCTTTTATGATGTTTGTACTTTATACCCTGAACAGCATAGAACCATGAAGGTGAACCTATGGCACGCATGCCACAGGTGGCACGCAGAGACATTTGTGCAAGCATGTGAGCCCCAGACAAACTTACCTCACTGCACATGTGCACGCCTCCCAGCTGTATTTCCGGAAATACTGGAAGTGACAGAAGGGCCCATTTTTCTGCCTTCAAAGGCTTGCAGAGGCTTCCCTCGAGCCTCTGGGAGGCCAAAAAAAGGCCTCAAATGGGCCGAAAAATCAGCTGGGAGGCATGCGCATGTGCAGTGCAGGTAAGGGGGCAGCGGGGGATCGTGCGTGCATACGCAGGAGACATGGGGCTGCGTGCATTGCCTTCTTGGTGCTGGCACATGAGTGCGAGCGCATGCGCAATTTTTGGCACAGGAGCCCAAAAAGGTTAGCCACCACTGGCATAGAACAAATACTAATGTAGGTGATCTTATTGCACCTTATTTTGCTAGTTTTTCCTGCTACAAAAAGTATTTAAAATCCTTACTACTATTTCTGTTAATTTTTGGAGCAAAATTTACAGTGATTTGCATCTATTTGACTCACAAAATGCCTGGTTAGTCTGATCGTGTACAATTTTTGCCAGTCTTTTTCCACATTTACACTATGAATATTTTTAAAAATACACTTTTTGTTGGTTGTACTATCAATATTATGCACACCTGAGGCCCTTCAGTAACTCAAATCAGGAAAGTTAACTCAGCATAAATCATCTAAGGATGAATAGGTTGTAAGTATCAAATTACATTTGTAGTCAATTTACATAAATAGAATTTGTGGGCACTTGACTAACAATCATAAATTCCAATTTCTAATTGCTGAAATGCCTCTTAAAACAAAGTCCTTGACTTACAAGTTTGAGGACAATAAGCATTCTTAAAAACAAAATGCTTGTAAAAATCTTTATATTAACTTGTATGCTGAAGTATAAGAAAATACTCAGTTGAATACTTGGTGAATAAGAACTCTGTATATGTTATTAAACTTAATTATCCTGTTAGTATTCCAAACCATCTGTCTTTTACTTGTGAAAAGGGTAATAATGAATGTACTTTTCATAAGTGGTTGATAGCTTTCATTTCAAGTTTAATTTGTTATATTGATTTTTTTAATGAAAAAAATTGGGAAATGTGGTTTCCTAGACTCAGCAGTAGGATTCAGCCGGTTTGAACTGGTTCAGGAGGGATGAAAGGGAGAAAAAAGGAGAGAGAGGGAAGGGAAAGTGAACGAGATGGATGGATGGATAGAGGGAGGGAGGGAGGGAGAGGAGGGAAGGATCACAAACCCTGGCACTAGACGCAGCTTCAGAGGATGCTTTGAAACAGCACAACAATCCAGGGCTGGCCATCTGGATTAGGAGCAATGTCAGCAATGGTGCCATGTGGTCCCTGGCCACCCCCAGCAACTG